CACAGTTCAATGTGCTCCTGGCCGAGGGCCGAAAGTACAAGGACGAGTTCACAGCGCAGCACGGCGGCAAGCCTGCCAGCAGTAAGACGTCCTTCCTTGGTGCCCTTTGCTCGCTTGTGCCAGCTGCCGTCCCTTGTGCCCGCTACACAACTGCCCGGCCACATGGTCCGTTCCTGTAACCCCCGCCCCCGCATGCCTTCACTTCCGCCCGCCATCCCGCCAACTAACCATCCACCGGCCGCCCTCTATGCCCGTGTAGCGTTCTTGTACAATATCACGGCCGAGATTCACGAGGGCGACATGCCCGAAAGAGCGGTGGCCACACACGCGGAGGTCATGCAGCTGTGGATCGCAGCTGCCGGAAGCCTCCGTGCGGACACAGCAATAGAGCTAACATACGATTACAGCATGGACGCCGCCACTGTCCTAAACGCGGACCAAGGCTTTGCGCGCACGGTGCTGGAAGCTGCACAGAAGGCGCGAGCGTCGGGATCACTCCTGGCCACCACCACGCCAGCCAAGCGACCTGCAACCAGCCCAGCCGACCCACATGCCAGTGCCCCCGCCCGTACGTGACTATATACAATCTCGTGCGCACCGACCGGCAGGGTATACGTCGGTCAGTCACGGGACCCTGAACGCCGCTTCCAAGCTCATGCCCGTAACCCACCCAGCCGGATGAAGGACGACGCCCGCCGCTACCAACCCTTCCGAAATCACTTCACCCTCACACGCCTCATGTCCACCGCCAATCCTGCTCTGGCCCACAAGATGGAAGCCTTCTACATCGCGCAGTTCAAGGCCCGGGGGCCGGGAGGCTACAATGTGCTGCACGGGCCGCCTTCCGCCAGCCCGGCCTTCTACGCCATGACCCAACAACGCGCAGGCGGCGCCCACACGCCCACCGCCGTCACAGTCCAGGACGATGACGCCCCTGCCACGCTTGCCTAGCCCACACATCAGCTCAACTCCTAAATATTGACCGATAACGTCGACCATTTCGGCGCTAGGCTTCTGGACATTGAGCGGTAGTGTTGAATTTAGGAAAAGTCGCACTTAGGGTTTCATTCTCGGTGCATACATGTTCAACATTAACTTGTGTGTGAACGGCTTGGGGTGGTCTATTGCGTTAGCGTTGAGACTGAAACAACAGCCCGATGCCTCTTGTCTATGTCCGCTCCTCGCGTGCTCTGAAGCAAGTTGCTCGGGGGCAAGTTGGTAGTGTGGGACAGCACCCATCATGTTGTCTGTTCTGGCTTGGCCATCCACGCGCGATAGGAATATTTAACCTTGGCCTTATTCTTCGTTCCTACATCATAGCAA